TGTGATCTTCGCCCTTTTCAAACTTCTACCGGGAAAACAATGTTTCAATTTTGTGAAAGCATTTGACGTTGCGCTCTCCAATCGCCGGTCTTCTTGGACAGAAATTATTTTTAGACGAGGAAATGTCACGTTCAACTCCTCGGTATCTTTTCTGTTCAACCACAAACAATCGCGTTTCGATTTACACATTTTGGGCCGATATAGGATTCATCAGGAAGTTTTCGTCAAAACAAAACTATTTCACATGTTACGCCTCCTAGCCTGTAAGTGGGACGTATCATATGAAGGGCGTTCAAAAGTGAAAGTATGGGACCTGCAAACATGCGGTTGTGTATATTTGACTGATGACAGCCAACAAGCCAGAAATATCCTTCTCAGTTCCCTTTAACGTTGCCCATAGTTATTTTCTGCATCTAATACTGGTAACTTTACAACTGTTTACGAGGGCCTTACGCGGATCTCCAAGGAATAAGACAAAAAAAGCCCATAAACGCACCAGCGCAGCTCTTTCTACTGTGGTGAATATGCCCGACCAAAACCGATAGGATGACGGCTTTATGACTTAGTCATGGAGCTTTGGAATACATAACGCCTGTTGATCAAAAACAGAATCGAATCGTAGGTGCTATAGGTCAGTGGGTGAGTATGACTGGCTGACGACAGCTACTACGCCAAAGATGGCCAACCCAATCTCTCTTCTTGTCCGTATTCATATCCTGTATGACATTCGATAGTTTGACCGTCGATTTTGACTATTTCTACCGTTTGCTCCGCAGCCTTGTGGTGCAGGGACGGTGACTTACCCGCGTAGTAGTTTTAAGTGATAGAGGACTTACGTTGCATCTACCGCACTGCCTACTCTCATCCGCCCGAGCCTGATACTATGATACAGTAGAGAAGACCAGAGGCGAGATGGTGCACAAGCGACTGAAGCCACCATTTCTTGCTCAGACCCCATGAAATGGGAGTACCAGAAAGGTCACGGATGGCTGGTGCCTGAGCCCGCACCTATGCGTGTCACCAACGTCCCTCCCTATGTTCGGGATTTGTTGTAGGAGCGTAATCCGAAGAACGCTTGCCGCACTCTGGTTTGGCCCTTGTGCTCGGATCTAGACTAAAAAGTCTCATGCACTTTCACCTTCTTTGCAGCATGAACACGGGAATCGCATATTCGCCTCCACGCGGTGGATACACTGCAATGGCTGGCAGTTATTAATAGCTTGAAGAAGAAGTCGTTGGGATCACCAGAATCGTAATTTTATTCTTCTGAGCTTTTGGGCTCTTGCGGCAGTCCATCATCAGAGATAAACCGTCAACAAAAAACGAGCAACAGTTATAGGGGGCAGGAACCAATCAACTGTTATAAGGGGAGGGGGGAGGACGAAGATTATGGTGGGGGGAAGGAAGAGGAGTGGGCGACTTTTTCTTCTAAACAAACACCTGGGATGCGAATCTTTGCCTTTATTCTTGATATCTTGTCAATGTGTGCTACAGATGACCTGGTCCAGCACATTTTATCCAGTTTTATTAAAAGATGGCTTCTTAAACCTCACCTAAGTCAGTCGGAGGCCCAGTCCTCTTATTACTCATACGCAGCTGACTCTTGGAAGATATATGTTTGTTGAAAGTGCTAAAGTGTATGATTTCTGTCTGCAGGATATAAAATCCATGGCCTTTGGGTTTGATAAAAGTTGAAAACAGGAATGAAAGGGGACAACGATGAGGAAATTTTAAGAAAGTATTTTAAATTGACAAGGGCCTGGGTTTTGCATGTTCCATCAGAACACAGGATGCAATAAACCAGATTTTCTGGAAAGTCCTGGGCTTTACCTTCAAGTCAGCCATTTTTCGGATTCGTACATCGGGAATACACGTCGTGGGAAATCGCTGGCTGT